TCCCCATCCCGCACCCCCTGCACCCGCCCCGGCGCTGGCCTGAGCGTCGCCTCGGCTGGAAGCTCCTGCCAGCCACCCCGGGGCCGCAGCCCCCGCCATCCACAAGATTTTTGGGCAAAATGAGAGGGAAGCAGCCAAACCCTGCCTGCCAGGACGGCTTTGCCAGCAGCCCAGGCTGCTCTGAAACTCCCGGCTTTCCCGCTCTTTAAAAAAGACAAACACCGCCTCCCCGCTCCCGAATTCCTCATCCTTTTCCTTTGTTGCGCTCGCAGCCTGCGGGCTGCACTGCCTTTGCATCTCTAAGCAAGTCTGTGCAAGCTTCTGGTTAATTGCTTTGTAGAAAATGTAATGGAAAACAGAGATTCTCACCCAAAAGCTGTCAGCAAGGGAAGGCAGAAAGCTTTTCTTATTTTTTAATCAGTGGTTCATTTGGCCGAAAGCAGGGTCACACATTTGCCTTTTCTTTAAACACTTCTGTTTTCTGGGTTTCGTTGTGGTTAGGAGAAAAGATGGATGGATGGATGGATGGATGGATGGATGGATGGATGGATGGATGGATGGATGTTCACATTTGCTGCTGTGTTACAGTGACTGTAACAATTAAAGCTCTGAGGATACAGAGAGTATAGTCAATACACATCAAGAAGCATCACTTTTGAGTGATTACTGCTACTTGCTGTTTCCCAAAGCGTGGTAGGACCAAGCTCTCATCCCTCCATCTCTCACCAGTACTTTCACCAGATCTTAGATGCCAGAAGTCATTAAAAAAACAGCCAAAGCAAACGTACGTTGCGGTTGCGAAACCACGGGTATTCAGCTCACGGTTATCTGGCCTTCGCATGTGCCGCTGCGGTATCTGTTGTTACTGATGCGTCAAAAAAAGGTACCACAAAATCAGTTGGATGCACAAACCCCCAGATTCCTGGGGATTTTGCTGATATTCACCCTGTTTGGGATCCCGTCAGGGCCGTGAATTGGGTCAGCGTCCACGAGCTGTCGGCTAATCAGAAGTGCCGTCAGTGCCGGAGGGTGGACTCTCTCCAAGTCCTTTCCTCCACCACCGAAGGATGCTAAGCTGGCTCTTGTGCAATCGCAGAGGCAGCGTGTTGGCGTGGGGGAGAAGGATGAGCTGCAGGAAGGCGATATAAGGCCGGCGGCGGGGAGCGCGAAAGCGACCCAGGGCTGCGGTGGGTGGAGGAGCATAGAGTGACCTGGTGATGGTAAGTGGGATGAGAAAGAGGTGAGATCTTGATGCTGGTGGGACCTCTCAGGACTGCTGCAGCACACAAGGAGCAAGCAGGAACAAGGGGAATAAACCCTCCTTGTCCGGATGTCTGGTGGTCGCAGCTGCTTGGGGTCGGGCGGAGGGGGTACGCGATGGGCTGCCAGACCTGAATGGGGCTTTTGGCATTGGCTTTGCCCCCCTCTCAGTGCACCTGCAGGGCAGAAGGTTGGCAGAGCATTACTCCAGCCACTGTCCCCACCTGACTCATATCCACGTCTCTGATGTGGAGAGGGCTCATCCAGCAGCATGCCATCAATTTCCCTAAAGAAATCCATCATCTGCACCAGTGGGGGAGATTGACTTAATCTGTGGGTTTGTGGCATTAATTTCAGCTGTGTTCATGGCTTTGAGGAGGTTTTTATCCCCTTGCCGGTTTGTGATGAATATGGGTTACTGGGAAAGCAAGAATCCTTTTGCAAATCCTAACTCTTCAAAAGTGCTGTAGTAGGAAGAGAGAAGCTCCTTTCCTCTTTGGGGAGCCTGGACTAATGCCTCAGCTGTGTGGTTTTACTCAAAGTGCCTATTCTTACTGAAATGTGGCTTTATCACTGTCAGCACATCCCTGCAGCTGGTTTCTCCTACCCCTTCTTTCTGGAATAGCTACCTAAATTCAGGACAGTATTTGACCCTTGTGTTAGCCTAGATATTCCTGATCTGGCCCTTTGGGATAAGAAACTACCTTGTGGTTTTGGAGGAAATACAGTACCGAAATTATTGTACCCATGCTGGAGGGTTGGCTCTCTCTGAATGACTGCAAGCATCTCCAAGTTACCCAGGGCTTGCTTATTTTTACAGGAAAGGACCGTGAGATGTTTGCTGCTGGTCTCTGCCCTCTCCCTGGCTGGCTGTGAAGACAAGAAGAGTGAGTCTCACTGTACACTCCCTGCTGGGTCACAGAGGGGTAGTATGGAAAGGAGAGGTCAAACCCCCACCTGATCTGTGTCCAGGTTCCTCTCTGAAGGCTGCTGTGGGAGGGCAGCAGAGCAGGGCACGGGGCAGGGGCAGGAACTGGGGTGCAATAGCCAGCAAAATAGGTAGAAACCTCAGGCTTTCTGTCCCAGCCACATACGGTATATAACCCGTGGGGATGGCAGAGGGGCTGTGACGTACCACCGCTCTCCTTGCTAGCTGATGGCTGGCTCCATAGCTCTGATCCAGGTTATGGCCATGCCGAGAAGGTCTCCCAGGCTCCTTGTCACATCTTCCAGGCTGAGGTGGCAGGTTCTTCCCCAGACGTGCCTGCTCTGGCTCTAAGTGAGGATCTAAGCCCTTGCGAGCATGACTTCATGCCATGAGTTTGCTCACTTGTCTCTCGCAGCAGAGATGCTCTTGCTGCATTTGAGCTTACTCGCCTTTCCTTTGCTGCAGGTGAGCTGGCGAGCCCACATGGCCCGAGGCGAGGGGTTGCCCTCCGTCTCGAGAGGAGCCCGGCTGCCTGTCTGCCAAACCCGTGCCAGCATCAGGGAGACTGCCAGGTGACGGAGGAGAGACCAGTTTGCAGCTGCAAACCAGGCTTCACAGGAGCGTTCTGCCAAGGTGGGGCTGGGGCCAGTGGTGACCCTCCCTGGTCTGTCCACGGGCGCCAGAGGGAAGGGTGATGGGCACGGTGCACTGGTGTTACCACTGCTCTCCGTTGCCGGCTCCATCCCATAGCTGACCTAGGGCTCCTTCAGGCCTCTTCCTTATTGCTATTGCAGATGGCTTTTTCCCCCAGATGTGGTCCTGAAGCTGGCCTGTGAGGAAGAGCACATGAAGATGATGGTGAGGAAGGAGGTGTTTGAACTCTTGAAAATCCCCCGGGAGCTTGTCCACTTGAAGAACCAGGCATGCAAGGTCTCAGAAAGAGAAGAAGAGGGCGAGCTGTTTTTTGCAGCCACTCTCACAGGTGAAAACCACACAGCCTGTGGATCAATAATTCAGGTGAGGAACGATCAGAGCCTCTCTGCATAGCTCTGAAGCTGAGAGGAGCAGACATGCTGAGTGGGGACAGCAAGGAGAAGCCCTGGAGGCTTTTCCTTCTACATCTGGGTGCCATCAAGTTCTCATTCCCCTTGGAAGGCTTCCCTGGGGGCTGTTAGAACACTCTTCTACCTCCACCATACCCCTGCTGGCAGCACATCTTGTCTTATTCAGCAGAGCATGGAAGTCTCAGTGTGCCCTTTGCTAACTGAGAGCAGCCCTCAGCTTTCTGGCAGCATCCTCTGAGCTCTGTAGCCCCAGGAGTAGCCCCTTGGTCCCTCACTTGATTCATGGGTCAGGAAGGGGGCAGAAGAACCTGTGCTCCAGTTCTGCCTTGCACAGAAGGGTCATATTGCACATCTGGTCACTATGGTTAGTCCTGCCTACTCCGGTGATAGTTGCCAGTAGCCCGTGGACATGGGGCTTGAGGAAAAACCCCAGCAGATATCCAGGAGGCCCGGAGCGGCTACAGCTGAGTTGCACCATCTGAACTAGAGCTTGGGGCTCTGTGTATGGACTTAGACATGGTCTGGAGACTTGGTTTCTGTGTCGTTCCAGCAAAACAGCTCCCACGTGTCGTACTCCAACGCCATTGAGTCTGAGCGGGAAGCACGTGGGAGCGTGATCTCCCGGAGTTTTCAGCTGGAGGTGCATTTCTCCTGTATCTATGCCTACGAGCAGGTGGTGAAAGTGCCCTTCGCTCTCACTGCTGTTGACAAGTGAGTGGTCCCTCTTTACCTTGCTGCTGACGTAGCATCTGTGAGCTTGCAGAAAAATAGATGCCTTCAATGAGGTGATCTGCAGAGGCCCTGGAGAGCCCCTGGAAAGCTCAGAGCAATGCCACATCAGGGTGCCTCCCTTCTTCCCAACACAATTTTTCAACATAAAGTTTGGGCCTGGGACAGAGCCAAAGAGCAGTGTGCACAATCCACCTTTCTCCTATCCTTACTGCTTGAAACCAGCTAACCAAAAGAAAAAAAGGTGGGAGCTGGCCCCCACAAGGCCCCTGTGGAGGAGCAGGTTAGGGTTCATTGGGCTGCCTTTCTCGTAGCCCTCACTGGCCAGCCGGGCAGTGGAAACCCCTGGAGCTCCTTGGGTCTGCACGTGGCATGGAGGCAGCTCTGGGCCCAACTCTCACGAGGCTCTACTCGGTAGCAGAGGCAGGTCCAGAGGCACCAGTGGCAGGCGTCCTTGCTGCCCTCTCACTCTCCTCTCCTCTCAGGCTGGTGCAGTTTGTGGTCAGAGAAGGACACTTCAACGTCAGCATGAGGCTGTACAAGAGCCCGTTCTACCTCCAGCCCTATCACCTCCCGACTGCAGCCATCCCCGTCACGGACACGCTCTATGTACTGCTGCAGTTTTTTTTCTGAGCGTTGAGGACTGCTGGGCCACGCCAAGCGCTGATCCCTACCAGGACCTGCGGCACCAGCTCATTGAGAAGGGGTGAGTGAAGTGCCCCTGGCACATCTGGTCTCCTTGCACTGTGAGCACAATCACGGCTCTTTGCTGGGTGCTAAGGGCAGGTTTCTGTGAGGGAGCAATGAGCAACGACACCATCATAGGTGGAACCTATGGTGGACACCATCACTGAATAGGTGGACCAACCCCATAGATGAGACCCCTAACTGCTCAGAACTGAACTCCCTCTCCTGATGGTGCTCTGCTGCCTTGCCTCAGCATCGCTCCTGGCCAGCTGGGGCAGCCAAGGTCAAGGATGAGAGAGGGGAGACCTTGCTGGGATGTGCATAGAGGTATCTGCTCAAGAACTTGTGTTAGAGACAGCTGCAACCAAGCTAAAGCCAGTAACATGGATATCCGGGAAGTGGGAGCCACAGCCACGCTCACTCCACCCCTGCAGAGTAGCTGTGGCCCCACAGGCCAAGACACAAGCCAGCTCCTCTGCTGGTGGCAGCTCCTCCCTGAGCCACGCACATCTCAGGGTGTCAGGGAAAGGCAGCCCCACTGGTGCAGAGACGGAAATAATCCCATTCAACAAAGCTTGGGGCGTGCACCTGGCCCCTCTGTGGTCTGGTGTCCCAGGCTTGTGTTCTCCCCCGTGTTTGCCACCTGCTGACTCAGTCACCGTGTCCCAGGTGTCCCCACGACGAGACGGTGACATACCTGAATGCCATTGGAGAGACCACTACCGCCAAGTTCAGCTTCCAGATGTTTCAGTTTGTGGGTTACCCCGAGGTGTTCCTGCACTGCCGTGTCCAGCTCTGTCTCCGTGACAGCCCGGAGCCCTGTGCCAAGGTGAGCTCTCCCACTGGTCCGCACTGTGCCCTGGCCAAGCAGGGTGACCTGCCTTCCCTTGGCCTGCTCTTTGGAGAAGGGGCTCTGCTCTGGTTTTGGGTGCCTCAGCACCATAACCTCCCAGCAGCAGGAGCTCCCCCCAGCACCCTGAACTAAAGGCGTGAGGGCTTGAACCCACCAGCAAGCTCCTTTCCCTCTTCCCTCTGGCTGTTGGGTATTTTCAGGAGGAGAGCTTTATGCTAGAACAGGGGGAGGAGCAGGCTAAGGTCCTTCAGGAACCAGCTCCTCTCATGCTCTGGGGTCAGGCTGCAGCCCTTGCTGTGCCTCTGCCAGGAAACACCACCATGACAGCTATTTCCCAGGGCTTCTCCCCTGGTCCCATCACTTTTCCCTTGGATTTCTTGACAGCAGTGCCCCAGGCACTGGAGGAGCAAGCGGGCGCTGGCGGATGACTACAACAAGATTGTCTCCTACGGGCCCATCCATCTGCTGGCTGCTCCTTCCTTGGGAACAGAGACCCACCATTCCAGGACTGACCAACAGGACCAGGGGGGTACGTATGTCTCTCCAGGGAGGACAGGAGCAGTTCATAGACTCTCGCAACTTTCTAGGCAATGCCAGGTTATTAAAAAGGGCTGCTAAAATCACTGCCCTGCACGGAGCATGGAGTCTTTCAGGTGTCATGGCCAAGTGCAGCGTGCTCCAGAGGCCAAACCAGCCAAATCCTGTTATTGCTCTCAGGGCCTCAAAGCACCCTCAGCTCCAGTGGCTCTTACCCTTCACAGGAGACGACCCCCTCCCAAATCTGCCCCCAGCCAGGAGATGCTGTGCCAAGGCTCAGCACTGGCTTGGGGGTCCCAGATGTGTAACCAGCCTTCCTCTTCTCCAGCAGGACCCAATCCATGGCTCCCTGGGACCCTCGTCCTGCTGTGCACCCTCGGTGTGCTCACCGTGGCTGCTGCGGCCCTCAGCACGAGGCGGCGAACGGCGTAGAAAACGGCTGTTTCCAAATAAACGTGGCTGTAGCAGAGAGGCTCTTGCCTGTGTCTTTAGAGGTATTTTTGGGAAGGAGGCGATGGTTGGATGCAAATGGTGCTTAAAGGATGAGTCACATCGGAGTGTTTCTGTTCCCTGTAGCATCCCTAGGACCTTCTCAACCCCTCTTGGCCCATGCTCTCAAGACTCCAAACGTACCCAGGGGCAGGAGGTTCCTTCTTCCTGTTCTCCTCCTCCCCAGTCACCCAGGGAGGTGGAGGTACCTGGACTAGATACCCACCTACCAAAGCTGGACTGTACATGATTCTGTGACACAGACACAGCGTTAGCAGAGAAAGGGCTGCTCTGTGCCTGCACACGCCTGTGTGTCCGCCTGTCCATGCAGATTTCTCCCTTCCTTCCTGGCAGATTTCTCCTTTCACTCACGACAATTTGCCAGCAAGATTTTTGCCCACCAAAGCATCCCTGACAGAAAGCCAATAACACACGATACTGTAAGCATCAAAGACTGAGACCATCGTGCTCAGACAGCGGGTAGAGATTTAATACTGAAACACAGGTAAGGAGAAGACAAGTGTTTTCCCTGCGAGGGGGCTGCGTGTGTTTGTTCGGCTGAAGCTCGGGGTCCTCATGGAAATCATTGCTGGCCCCAGAGGGTGTTTGACAGGAGGGACACCCAGCAGATCCCTGCCCGAAGAGCTCAGCCCCACTCTGCTTGGAGAGGGGCAAAGAAGCTTGTGGGATTTTTTTTTTTTTTTTTTTTGCTAATTCCAGACCTGAGCTTCCCAAGTCAATCTTCCCACCTCCAACAGCAGGAAAACCCAGTACTGGGCCAGTCCAGGACCAAAGACTGGGGCGGCTCCACACTGGCTGAAGGTCGGTGGTCTGTGAGCTCCATCCTTGCCCCCGTAAGAGCCCCTGGGACTTCAAGACCATGAGGAGCTGCAGCCTGGAGGGGCTTTGGCATAAGGGACATCTCCAGAGCTCCTTGCCCAGGGCAGGCCACTGGGAACAACAGAGCCAAAGCAAAAAGCCCTGCTGAGGTGGATCATGCCCACTGAAGGGTAAACTGAGGCACAGCAAACTGAGCCCTCCTCCTCCGTGGGAAGCTGTGTCTGCTGGGACTGAAGCTTGCTCTCAGCGGGCGCACGTGCGGGCAGGGCGGGAGGTCTAGCCAGCAGCTAGTCCTGGGAGACTGTGGCGGTTTTGTCGTGCCTGATGATGTGGGTGAGGGAGCCAGCGGTCTCCTTCGTCTTTGGGTAGTAGACGACAACCAGCCAGATGAATATGAAGATTCCTGCAGGGCAAGGAAGGCAGACACTCAGCAGCAGCAGGAGGTGGTGGGAAGTGTCCTGTTGGGATGCTGCTGGCACTTCTGTGCCACTTCCAGGAGGTTCCTCCAGCTCGTTCCTGCTCCTGCAGGAGAGTCTCCCCATGCTTCAGATGAGCCATTTGGCTGCAACATGCCCTGGGTGGATCATGTTCCCATTCCTCTGGTAAGGAATGGCTTCCCCAGAGGAAAACCACACCCAGTGGAGTGGACATGGTTGGGAGCCGTGACCAGCTCCATGCCAGTGGCTGGCACCTGTTGGTTGGCATACCCTGCCAAAGGGAAGGGCATGATGGTGCTGAGAAGCTGCTGGTGCCTTGGGACCCCTGCTCAAGCCCCTTCCAGGCTGGCTCCTGCCTCTTCCATATTCTCTACCCAAGCCCAGGGAGCCCATCTCAGAGCTAGCACTGACCTTGGAGGGAGTTGAGGATGGTGAAGAGGTAGAGCATGGGTGCAGAGGAGGTGCCGTGGGTGAGGAACGCCAGGGCCCAGGTGGCTCCCAGCAAGCAGAAGAGCCCCATTGCCACAAAGGCCACCTTCCAGGCCTTGCGGTCCCCCTGCACCACTCCCCTGCCCTGCAGGCAGCAGCTCTTCTGGGTCACTACCCCGAAGACAACCACGTTGAAGAGGAAGATGAGGCCAAAGTAACCGCAGTTGGTGATGTAGTGGACCAAGACACGTTTGGAAGTGATCCAGCACCTGTAAAGAGACAACTAGCTAGCTCCAACAGCACCCATGGGAGCCTCCCCAGGGGGATGTGTTTGGGGATGCAGGGTCACCCTCGTGCTGGTGGAGATTTTCAAGGCCGGGGTGAAAAAGTGGGGGACAGTGGTGTGGATCTGCTGCCCTTGGGTTGCTCAGCTGGGAGGGAGCCTGGAGAAGCTCCAAGTGGACCTTGGATGTCCCTCCATGACCTGGAGGCCTGCGGACATGACTGAGGAGGCTCAGCATGAGAGGTGGTGGTGGTTACCACAGCAGTGTTGTAATCATAATTAGGGAAGCGGAAGCACGGCGTAAAGCTGAGCAGGATGGGTGCAACCCCCACTCGTCATCTCGGCACAACCGGGTTACTGCTCCCCATGCCAAAGGGCCACCTAAGCCCTGTGGGTGGTGGCGCACGCACAGGTGGGCTATGGGCTGGTTGTCCACGCTCCGGATGCTGTAGTCTCCATAACTGCTGATGGCTCCTGCCACCCCCACCACGAGAGCGGGTAAGCCTGGAAAAACAAGGGAGACACATAGAGGAGGCCAAAAAGGCAAGCAGCGGGCAAGGTGGTCGGCCTGGGGCCTCTGCATTTCCCTGGATGTGCTGTGAAGATGGGGCCTAGGGACCTGCCTAGGGGACACAACAGTGGCTGCTGGGACATGATGTGAAGAGGGAAGGACAGTGCTGGGTGGTGGGGCTCAAGGTGTCTCCCAAAATCTCTGTGGGATCACCTGCTCGGTGTCCCCAGGGTGCCACGGAGGGCTGGCAATGGAGGAATGAAGACACTGGAGGACATCGCCTGCTCATCGAACAGGAGGCTGATCCCCAGCAGGATGGGGTTGCCTGCAAGGTGCTGCCCTGAATTTGCTGCACCAAGCCCATGTAAGACACTTCCTGGCCCTGACCGTGGCATTTGGAAAAGCTGTGGGCAGGACAGGGGCTTGCTCACTCTGCCCATCACTGCATCACCCTGCTTCCCCTCTGGCTGTAACCCACTGCCCCCTCCCCGCACCAGCGCTCGCCCAGGCTGGTGGTGCTCACCCCAGCCGACCAGGCACAGCTTCACCAGGTAGTGATGGATGTAGATGCCGAGGACTTTGACGAAGAGGAGATAGAGGTGACAGCCCTCCAGTGCCGTCCAGGTGAAGAAGCAGAGCAGGCAGTAATGGGTGAGCCCCCCCAGGACCCTGCAGGTTCCCGGCTGGGTCCCACCAGAGAGCCCGCTGTTGAGCAGGAAGGCCAGGTTGAGGAGGAACAGGCTGCCCACGAGGTTCATGTGCAGCCCCAGGTTGGTCCGGAGGGTTTCCTCAGACCTTAACCTGCACCTGAACATCCCCAGAGGGAGCAGAAAAGACGGGGGTCATGGCTGAGCAGGGCCCCATGCTGTCTCGCAGCAGAGGCACCAGCATTGCACCACATCTCTCCCAGCCTGACGAGTCCCCGGGGAGCTGCTGGCATCTCCTACCTTAAGAAGATGCAGAAGGCGATGGTGAAGACAGAGAAAACCATGGCTACCCCGCAGCCAGCGGTGGCAACAGCCATCAAGACTCGTGCTGTGGACCCATCCAGAGCTGGGTTCTGCCAAACACACACATGTTGGGTTAGACAGGCCCTGGACCAACCTGGAAAACCTGACTGCAGCTACTGGACCCACAGGGCTGATAACCCCAGAGGGCTGCTGCAGGGACCCCACGCAAGCCCCATTCTGGCCCCCAAAAGGTTTTGGGGGGGAATGGGTGGGTGGTGGCTCAGGGGAGATGCTCCCTGGGCTGGGGTGAGTGACAGCCGTGGTGGACCACCAGAAGCACGCTCCTGGGAGCCTCCAGCAGGAGACAGGACCCCAGGCCTCGCTGCTCCAGAGCCTGTGTAGGCTGGGGGCCACTTCCACCCTGTACTGGCTCTGCAGTGCTGCTGCTGCCCTCCGGAGC